TTTTTTTTTTTCAATTTGACAATGTTTAATGAGTCATAAGCAATTCAGTGGGATAGAGAAAGTAAGAGGGTGGATACAATGGTATCAGCAGTACAGAAGGCATAGGTTTAGTACAATACAGCCATCAATTGGTAAACAATATGCGTAATGACATTTATAAAGGTTGTGCACTTTTCAGAGAACTAGTTCCGAGTGCAGAGCCCATCTACTTGAGCTAACAGCGCAAATCCACATTGTAAATAGTTTAGTCTTTTTTCTTTTTGTTTTATCTTATTTTTACTTTCCACCACTTTATTCTACAAAATAAATAAAAAATGAAAAAAAGAGTCAAGTATTATTGTATTATTTTCAAATGCTTTTATATAACTACATAAATCTTTTTGGTGCAACCAATTGCCTACCGTTCTTCTATCATAGATCCTCTTTGAACATTCTGCTTATCCAACAAAACTCCATGCAGATAAACAAGAGCTAATATGATATCATAAATCCTCACATTCTGCCCAAGTTAAAAAAAAAAGTGAATCATTTATATTTATATGTCAGTTACTCTGATTGATAGGAAAATACATCTTCTTTTGACCTATGGCATCTCATGCAAGGGAAAATGGACCTGCTAAAGATCATAGATATAAGGTAGCTCCTGGTAGCTTCACTGCTGACTTAGTACATTATGATGGGTATCTAATTATGGGATTAAAGTGGGTCTAGATGTAAACCCCGACAAAACAGAACTTAAATATATCCATAATACAATCATTTGTATTCAGACAGGGATTTGAATATGAAATATAAAGGAGTATCCAGACCAAGTGACGCTGAGAATCTGGCAATCTGACCTTTCACTTGGCATATTACTTACATCTTGGCACATCACTTAAACCCTTAACAATGTCTTCTAAATGTGTCATTGTGTTTATAAATATTTCACAGTACGAAACATATTTTCATTTTGTATTATTTTGATAGTTTTGATATATTGATATATTTTTTATGTATTTTTTTTTATTTTAATATTTTTTAAAAAATTACTTTTAAGTTTTATTTGAACATATTAAATAATTTGGAAAGCTTATCAGAAAATACTAAATAAGGCCTAAGATAGGAAAGAGGGACAGAGGGATTTGGTCTAAGATAGGGACTGTCCCACCTAAATAGGAACACGTGGGAGCTATGCAGCAGGTTAAAACAATTAACTGGATCAAACAATGCTCTAATAATCGCATATATGACAGTTACTTTGTAACTGTAGCTTATGAATCTATTGTCGGTCTCAGTACAACTGAGATTCTGCAGGGTAGTGAGGTAAACCCCTCAACACAGCTGTCCCCTCCCATGTTAGATATGTCAACTGCCTGTCTTTTGGAAAAAGTATTGTTTAAGATCTCAGTGTAATATCAGACATAAATATACATATACATGTATGTATTTATATTAGCTTTACCAGAACATACCAAAGCGCTGCATCACAAAGACCTCCCAGCTGTTGCCAGCACATCTGCAGGTTCAAAGGCAGAGCTCCACATGAAAGATCCACACACTCACACATATATTGATGTATACACATGTATCCCCAGGCTTAGCTCTGCATCTCGTATATTGACCTCATAAAGCATTGCAAGTGTTTGAAAACCACATCTGTGGAAGAAAGCTTAAAACAATCCTTCTCCCAATACCACATCAATGCAATGTGTCTGTGTCCTGTGCTGTCTGCCCATAGGTGAGAGTGTACAAGGACTAGTAAGTGGAAGCAAACTACCTACGATAGTGCACAGAGTAACAAGAGAGACTGTAGTATGAGATGTGATGGAAGATGACTGAGCAACATCAATGCATCAAGGAAATAAATTGTAACAAGGTAGCATTCTGTGTGAGGGGTAAGAGGAGAGGTATCATTGTAAAGAGCAATAATAGAGACACTGACATAGAGCTAAAATGTGTTAGTTGTGTGGAAAGGGTGTGTTGGGTGTGCCAAATTAATTCTCTGTGCACTAAATAAGGGTCGCAGCCAGCAACATTGCATAATTTATGCTTATCTTTAATTTGTAATTAGCTCTCTAGCTCTCAATTCCACTAGAGAGAGGAAGAGACTGCTGCCTGGCGTTCCCCAAGTAAAATTTCAATCCATATGCAAATGGTTTGACTGCTTACTTTGGGACATCAGGGCACTATTGGCACCATAGTGGTTATGGTGCTTTGATTGTTTCATTATTTCATCACACTATTTCGAAATAAATTCACCTGTCTAGAAAAGGCTGGCCACCAAAACTCTGTGACTGCATTAGGAGAACATTAGACAAAATAGAGTTTGCAGGAATCAATGACCTGCAAGCTTTCTTTGTCTTAGGGATAAGCATAACCACCTAGCAAAGCTAGCGGGTATGTGGCAGCCTCACAGAGGATTATTTTGCCGCGCTAAAAAACCATTGTGCTGTGCTCCTGCACAGCAACAGCGTTTTAGCCAATCAGGTGATCAGGACAGCTGTGCAGCTCGCGGCAGCCCTTATCTCCTCAGATTTTAAAATCGGGATAGTGCAGATGGTTAACTCATCCAGAAACAAAGAACCCCCTAATGTAGGATAGAGATCAATGTACATGGTACTAAATATAATAAAGTAAAAAAGCACCACTGTCAAAGTAAGGGGGATAACGATGTTTTATTTACTCAACCAAACATGAACTTACTCCTATGAAAGGGTTATGGCAACAGAGTGGAAAGGCAATATAATAAAGTAACAATGAAAAAGAAACATTTCTCAAGTACTAACAGTTAATAGTGACATAAGAAAATGCAACAAAACAATCGTTGATCAACAAGGTGAAAAACGGTCTCTGTGAGAAAGATAGTATAACTCATAATCAAAGAACGTCTGGAAGAAGTTTCTTAACGTCCATAACTATTTAGGAGGGTCCTTGGCTTGATGATCCTGTCTGGGTAGTCGGTTGTAATCTGTAAAGATAAACAGAATAAATATAAATATATAAGCGAAAAAATAAAACAAACACAAAAAATTACCTTAATTAGAAGATTGCCAAACCAGATAAATACCCTGTCACCACCAGGCACTACAAATAAACCTGGGGAGGGAGAGATGGCCTCTTTGTTAGGTGGTTATGCTTATCCCTAGGTCATCGATTCCTGCAAACTCTAGCACACAACTAGTGGTGGTCCTAAGGAACTGTAAATGTTCAACTTCAGATGTCCTTCAGTAAAACTTAACGAAAGTTTTACTGGAGGACCATCTTGCAGCTTTAAGGTTAATAGGAAGAGGAAGGCCACTCGCTGCTGCTTTTGAAGCTGAAGCCCCTCTGATAGAATGACCCTTAAAAACTGTGACATCAATACACGCTGCAGATAGCGGACAGTATCCAACCCCTGATTGTGTTAACCTTAGCTGTCCGAAAAGGTTTTCTGGAAGTGATAAGTAATTGTGTAAAGTCTTGTCTGACTGGGGCAGAAAGATTCAAGTATGAATTTAACAAATTAACTAAACATAAACTCGGCTCAGCAGAATCCTGCACCAAATCTAGTTCTACAGGACCCGGGAAATCCGGACTGTAGCCAGGGACAAATGTTGGCGGAACAGGGAATCTGCCAGTTCGTTTGCCTCTCCTGGTACGTGAATTGCCAAAATGCGAACTTTGTGAACCAGAGCCCAGGACCACAGGTCCAAAGTCTCTAGGAAAAGACCTCTTGACCTTGTGTCCCCTCTGTGGTTGACATAAGCTACTGCTGCCCTGTTGTTTGATTGAACCATTACCGACACATCTAGGGGGTTCAACGGAACGAGGCCTTGGAGGGCTAATCTGATTGCTCTCAACTCTAGTAAATTTATGTGAAGAAGCCTTTCTTGAACTGACCAAACTACTCTTATCACGCCTTAGGCAGAGAAAGCACCCCATCTCTTGGTAGAAGCATCTGTGGTCAAGGTTAACTCAAAAGGCCCCTACAGAAGGGGGCAAGGAAGTGGACTTGCCCCTTTCAATATCTTATTTAGCTCTTTTCGGACACTCGTGGGAAGGACGACCCTTGACCCCCACTGGCCACCTCGTCTCAGTTGATTTCCTAAAAACAGCTGACTTCGTCTGCATAGCAAGGGAAGCACCGTAACCCGGTGTTAATGCTATCAGCCTCCCAATAGTTTTTGCTATTTCTCTGAGGGACCATCTGTGTTTTAAAAGAGCTGAAGTTAACTGAACTAGGATTTTTTTCCTATTTGTCTCGGGGGAACAAGGTCATATCCATAGTGTTCAGCATGAAACCCAGAAATAGGATATTCTGAGTAGGGACTAGGATGGATTTTTTTCAGATTTACAATAAACCTAAGATCCTGTAATAAGGAAATTAGGTAATCTCTCTGCTGAATGAGAACATCTACCTCTGAATTCAACAGCAGGCCTGACATGGAATATAATAACCTTCATTATCCTGGAAAATGTGTAAGGTGCGTTGGATAGGCCAAACACCATTACAGTGAAGTGATATATTTGTTCCTTCCAGCGGAATCTGAGAAAGCGCCTGTGTTTCATAGTGAAAGGAACTGAATGGAAAGCATCTTTGAGGTCTAATTTTATGCAGAAGACATTTTTCAGCACTAGGCATGGGAGGTCTGTTAAACCTTCCATCCTGAATCTTTTCCTCTTTAGGAAAGCATTCAAAGCCTTGATATTTAGTACTGGTCTGCACGCGCCATCCGATTTTGGAATAGGGAACAAGGGACTGATCCAACCTGAAATTGACAAACCTGCCAATTCTATTTTTCCCTGAGCTGATGCCTGAGAAAGAGAGGAATCTAGAACTGGATTTACCTCTCTGCCCAGAACTTGACTATGGAAAGGAAACTGAATGAGAGGGAGTTGTAAACCCCTTTTAAAAATCTGAAGCACCCATTTGTCCGAAGTTATATCTCACCAATTTTGAGGGATGTGAGGTAAACCACTTACTTGGCTGCATGGGTCTTTGGTTTCCTGATGAGCCATGTCTGGCATGGGCTCCTCTGCTACTGTCCATGGTGACGAAAGTGGGCTTGCTTATTAACTTCCCAGGATGAACCTGTAGCCCTGTAGGAACAACCCTCGGTCCGAAAGGGCTTCTTGTAGCTTAGAATGCTCTTCTTTAAATCAGAGAAAGGTCTCTTAGCCTTATATTGTCCTTTCACCCCCTGTATAAAAGAGGGGCCAAATAGAAAGGAGTTTTCAAAATTAGGGAATTCATGTGATATAGGTGCCAAATCAGCCCTCCCTGCTGCATGCAGCCAGCGGGTTCTGCGAATGTTGGAAATATGGTTGAAGGATTGACCGATAATAAGCACTGCTCTGCTGGAAGCTTTTAGACGTGCCATCTTAGAAGCCAGTAAAGCTGGTAGAGAAGGGTTATGAGAGGATCCCTCCTTCTCTGCCTTATCTAACATAAGCAGAAGGGGACCAACAGCATCCGCAATTTTAAATTGTACATTGCAAAATGTCTGATCCATGGGATCCGCAGAAACACTGCTTCCTGTAATGGATAACAGTGCTGGATCAATTTCAGGGGCCATTAGTGCCTGAATGTCAGGGATACTAATGTGATTTCTAAGGAGGAGATCATCCTCTTTAACTAGCGGTGATCTGAAAGCTAGTTTGGCTTTCTGACTCTTGCTTGATGGTCCATCTTGAATGGAATAATTTTGAAGGGAGCACTTTACCTAAAGGGCTCACTCTGGTCATCTGAATGTTGCTCAACTTCCCTTGTTCAGTGGAAGCTGCAGAGCGAACCACCTCTTCGGACTCCCAATCCATCTACGGTGAGCCCTGCCTGGAACAGGACCGGCTTAGGGAGGATGAATGAGCAAACGCTCTTGAGGTGGACGGTGAGTGACTGACAGTACTCAAACGAGTCTTGTCCCTTTTGTGTGAAACAAGGGAAACACGCGTTTCGCTTTTGGAGGTACCATCCCTTTAAAACGTTGACTACTCAAACAAGAATGAGGGGAAGAGGGACTAAAATGAAGTTCATCCTCAGAACTTGAAGAGGAAAGGCAACCCTTCTTTTTTCTTTTACTAACTGGGACTATATCCTCCTCAGAAGATGAAGAGGATAGGTTCCTGGCAAGGAAGGCACTCTTCTAACGTTGATGGGGCTGTCTCTAGGAGAGAAATCCACCATATCTGTGGCAGACAGAGAAATGGAGTCCTCCATCAATGTTGCCATTTTAAAATCTGAGGTGATCAGGGCTGCCGCGAGCTGCACGGCTGTCCTGATCACCTGATTGGCTAGAACACTGTTGCTATGCAAGAAGCGTGGAAAAATAATTCTCCAGGAGGCTGCCACATACCCACTAGCTTTCTTAGGTGGTTATGCCTCCCGGAGGGATGAAGAAGCAGCCAAGAGACCAATGATATCTCTGAAGGAGATGGAGAGAGCCACAGTGACGTATGGTGGAACTGTACATGGGACAAATATAACCCAGTTACTCCATTTTGGAGTTTGTCAAAGGGCATGTGGAAATGTGGAGGAAAGCTCTCTGACCTAATAAAACTAAAATCTGACTTTTTTTTTTTAACTAAGTGCAAGATGTGTGGTGCAAAGACAAGATTGATCATGATGCTGAGAACACCAAACCCACAATGAAGTTGGTAGGTGACCAATTTTTAATGTTTTGTATGGTGTTCTCAGCGTGATAAGTATAATTTTGAGAAGTGTATTAAAGAGTATCTAATTTCAACTGTAATTGCAAAATAGCAGATACAATAATTATTAGAAGGTCAGTTTATATTTGGATCATTAGGGTTAGAATTTAGGTGAGCATGTAAGGATATTACTAGGGTACATGTGAGGTTAACTTCTTCATAACCAGAGCTCAGACATATCCCATTAACTTAGGGGCTATACACACTCATCCAACACATGCCCTGTCCGTGTGTACTATATCCACGGGGTGATACATTATTCATATTAAGCACTAAAAAAAATATCTCTCAGAAAATAGTACTTAGCATTAATGTTGCAAAGATACCTCCCAACATTTCAAAGAGGGACACTTTCATTTTAGAGTTGGGAATGAGGGTGTGGTCAGGTGCAGGACTGTTCTGGTCAATTATAGGTGACTTTCTAAGAACATTTATGCAACTATAATGTTAGAACAAGAATAATGTATCTTATTTACACAGACTAATTTCTAGGTACACTTATCGTAGTTTAAAGACACATTACTGTGAATATAACTCTTTTACACACATCAGGCACACCAACAGTAGGGAGCTCCTAGAAAAGAGGGACATTAAGACAGAAAAGAAGGAAAGAGGGATTTGGGCCCAAATTAAGAACTGTCCCTCCTAAATAGGGACACATTAAATGTATGGGCAAGCAATTTGGATGAATCAGGAAGGGAGCAGACCAGTAAATAGAGATGTAGTCAGACTGTCCTCCATATGTGTATTATACTGTCTCACACAGGACTAATCACCTCCCCCCAGTCATTTTTAGACTTCTGTTAATGTTTTGCTGATTCTGCAGAAGCCAAGCCATGTTATTAGTCAGAATGTGGGAGAGTTGAGCTTGATGAGTTAACTGCAGCCCCTTCAATAGACCATTGCTTACCCTCCTTTCTTCTCCCCTGAGGCAGGAGGGAGGATAGAATAACCCTTTTTTGCCAGGACATGAGTGCAATGTAAGTTACCCTTAGGTACCAAACCGCTTGTTCTGTTTTAGAATCTTGTTTCTGTGTTATACCAACTTAGCACCTCTCTTACCTCTCTATACTGTATAGCATGATGGGAGATCATATCAGCTGTCTAATGCAGGTGTGACCTTTCTTTCTACATAACTTAAAGGGATTTTAAGAAAAAAAAAAAAAAAAAACAATAAATGCAGCCTTGACAAATGTTCTCTACATTTTTCTTTCACATGAGTGTCAATTAACATAAAACTTTATTCATGGAGTCCTATGGAATAGCCACGTAGTAATATGTATAATTCTTAAGATACATCCGTTCATCCGTTATTATTTTTTTTCCCTGTAGGCCTAGATTGCTTGTTTAGATAATGACCACCAAAATGATTTTATTAAAGACACGGAGGCTCCTATTATGCTTCTCTTTCTTTAATTCTCCCTCAGCAGCGAAGAGAGATATATGTAAAAGAGATAAAAAAGAATAAATAACATTAGCATATGACAGTGCCCCCATAGGTATCCACCCCCTTCAGTATATAAGGTGTAGCACTCCATGCCTCTTCCTCTTTCTTCGCTGCTCCCTCAGATAAGTACACTCTCACATTTGTTATGGTGTGCTCTGTAGTATTATTGTTGTTATCTCTCTGTTTTTCACATCTTATTGCTGCATGCTGTATTATTATTTGGAGACTGGGTTGCATTAACTTGTGTTGGGGACACTGTGTGTACCCCTTTTTTCTCACTATCTAGACTGTGCCTTTGTTTTTTATGTGTCTGGGGCTCTGTTGCTACCCCTTGGGTTAGCTTGGTTTTCCCTCCCTCCCGCCCCCCCCCCCGGTTGGGGGCTTCTGCCCCGACCAATCTCACCACCGTTCTCCGCCGTCGGGGCTCTTAGGAGACACCCGCGGCACTTTCGGCACTATTTTGTTGCCGCCGGCCGGACCTACTTCTGGCCCGCGCGGCGATTCCCATCTCCTCAGTTAGCCGTTCGCGAGCAACGCGCATGCGCGGTTACTCGCGGCGGCCATCTTTTTGGTTCCTCTGGTCGCCGGTTACGGCGGCGGCCATTTTCTTTACCCCTGTGTGTCTGTATTACCCGCTCACACGCGGGAATTACTTTATCGGTGGCTCTACCACTGTTTCACTCGGTTATACCTCCTATCTCTCCCCTACTCTACCTGGGTTAATCAATCCTGGTATCCCTTACCTACCTCATCTTTTCTACTTTATTGTTTTATTATATTTTCTCTCACTTGCACTACTGCCCTGACCATGCAGTCTGATGAAAAATCCTCTGGAAAATTTAGCACCTCTATGGCCATGACTGACCCTGACCCCCAGATTGACACTGGGCTCATGGGCTCTGAAGAATTTCAATGCCTCCTGGACTCCACCATGTCCAAATCTATATCCAGGGCCATATCTTCAGCCATGGGAGCTATGTCCTCTACTATATCGGACTCCATTACACAGGCACTCAAGCAGGTACAACCTCCCTCTGCCCCTGCCTTGACCCATAACCCCCCTGAGGGGTTGCTACCAGGGCGCAAAGCGCTAACCAAGCGCAGACACTCACAAGACCCCCCCCCCATGCAGGTTGACCCTGCTCAGATTGACATGCCTCAGGCTGTCCATGATGGCGCGCAACAACCGCGCAATAGAACTTCTGGGCGAGCTACGGCCACCAGAGACTGGAAACGGGCTAGAACCCAAGATATACTGTCTGACTCAGACGAGGAGGGGGATGAGGGGTCAGACGTCCCGTACTCAGACCCATACGAGGACGAGCTCTCAGAGGGTGAAAGCCTCCAGGGGAAGCAGTTCCCCTTAGCGCCTACTCGTACCGCTACACATTCAGGGGCACCCGAGGCGGCAACAAGCCACGACCCTAAAGAGGTTCTGCTATTTGACCCTGACAACTTAAGACACCCACGCTCGGCGGAGTGGGAACCCTCCGAACACATTGCCCGATACCTGGCCCTCAGAGTACGTAAGTCCCTTTCTCAGGAGGGCCGTAATAAGCTGAGAGCTTAATGCCCCCGACCCATAATCCCTGATGCTGTGGCAAAAACCCCAGAAGTAGACCCGCAGATAGCCCAGTTTCTAGCCAAGACCGGCTGGAAGTCTAAGAAGGGATTGGACTACTCCCTTCGAAACTGTCAGGACAAATTCCTAGACACTCTGGGCCCTGTCACTAAGCTCTATGAACTGCTGGAAGCAGCTCAGTCGGGTGAGGCACCGATAGACTTTGAGGTGGCGTTCGGATGGCTCCAACGCTTAGTCTGCATGATCGGCAATGCCAATACTGCCATGTCAACGGAACGCAGGAAGGTGATCCTGCTGAAAATCGAACCCAAACTGGCTAGTATGGCCTCCAACGAACCAGGGGCGGCGGCTAAAGGTCTGTTGTTCGGCGAATCCTTCGTCAAAGACCTAGGCTCCTATGTGAAGACCTTTACGGCTCTGGATAAGGCCCAATCATCCATTAAAAAGGTCTTCCACCAAAAGGTTTTCGGTGGGGCCGGTAGAGGTAGGAGCCGTCTATCCGGCCGCAACCCCCGAGGTCTCTCCAGACCAGGCAGAGGCTCCTTCAACGTACAGAGGCAAAACCAAGAACGTTCCTACACTCCGTTCTTCCCTTCTCGTGGAAGATCTTGGAATGCCCGTGGCGGCAGAGGAACAGCCCCAGGAAAACGCCCTTATGGTGAGTACGATTTTTCCCCATTTTTCCCATATAAACGTGGGGGGCAGACTGGCTTTGTTTTCTCAGACTTGGGCCACTATCACGTCCGACAGCTGGGTGCTACAGACTGTAGAGGGTTACCATTTGGAACTGACGGGTCTTCCTTTTCAGGTTTCCCTTCCACATGTGCCACGCATGTCGC